CCCATATACGAAATATGAATGAGCAAATTGCGATGTAAACAACAATGATTAGTATTGCACCGTAAATTGGAAATGTTTCATAAGCATCATTCTCACTGTTCGTCGCATCCTGCAATAAGTCTACTGCACCACTTTTTTTTATTCTGTTGTTTCAATTAATAATTGCACCTATATGAAGTGGCAAGGTTGAGTGGACTTCTATATGATCCTAATTCTTCATTCCATTCTTAGAAGGTTAATATAGCTAATCATGACGCTAATTTTCCCGGGATTATCATTACGAATTCAGGCTATTTCTTATAAATATAATCTTGGAAAATAATCCTTTCGTGACAAATTGTCACACAAGCGATGTCGTTCTCCAATTACGCAAAAACGGTCAAGGCGGATTGAGAGTTGGGCAAGGAAGACTAGTAAGAACGGAGTTTTCTACTGTACTTGAATATCTTTCCTATTTTTTACATGGATTTTACATGAGGTGAGAAAAATGCATAAAAAAGCAGAAACAAACATTTTCGTTGATGTCACAGCTACTCTTTTTTACTACTTCAGGGGTTTTCATTTTAGTTCCAGCTTCGTTAGAAACCTGATACTCTCTTGTTCTCCACCTTAAATAATTGCAGTATGAGCAAGAGGTATATATAGCAGTACATTTATGTCAAAATTTCAATCGCTCACCTTAATATAGATTGTGTAAAGCACTTGAAACCTTTCCGGATAAAAAGCCAAATACTGCGTACATACAGGAGAATCAACTTCCCAAATTCGTTTAATACTACCAACATATACGGCACGCCCAACAAAGCATATAAAATAGTAAAAATTCGGCCTTTGGTGGTCCGGCACCATATGTTTCCATATCCTGCATTCATTTCTATAATCCGGATCCTACTATATTACTGCATTTCTTGCTAGTTTCTCATATTTCACAAACAGTATTTACTGAGGTGCAATAACCGACGTTTCAAAAGACTGTAAAATATATTATTAGAGGAAAGAGTTCAGAAGATATTACCACTTAAAAAGCTTCATGAGATTCTGTGAGTAAATAAATGGAAGAACAAACCAATGGTGGTAAAAATAGTGCCACAATAAAATACAGCATTCCAATAATCGGCCCATCTCCAGAGATTGTGCCTGTAGGCCAAGACGTCCGTTAGTTCATCGTACTCCTCTAGTAGCAGCTCAAGCCTTCTATTACATGTTATCTGTTTTAAAAGCGGTGCTATCTACAGTATCCAAATGAATGCTCCACATTTCAATTTAACCACAATTCAAGAGATAAACGAGTTTCTAAGCATACGACTAAAATCTCTCCCTCACTTTAACACAAATCATGATTATACATGGGATATTAACTTATCCTGTCATGGATCTCTTTTCCATTTTATCAAGGAGTTAAGACGAAGAAATTACTGTACAAGTGAGAGCATTCTATAAAGCTCACCTTGGTACTATTTTGGTCATCACTGTGTTTTGTTATAGACTGACAGTGTGGCGACATAAATAATCCTGATATTTTCTTCGCATAAATTTTGTGGCGCTCCAGGGTTTTCTGTAAGTGGAAAATGATAACAAGGATTCATAAAAAGGCGACGGTTAATATCGGTGATAAAGTTACTTGTTCAAGCTGAGCATTCAGCTCACGTTCAGCAGGTGCTTCAAACTGGTGAACAAGCAATCCACCGAAAAGTGCATATGCAATCAGTACTGACAACAACAAAACACATTTTATCCAACGACCGAACTTGAATTCAAGATTGTACCATATCAACTTGACTGGATGGCAGCGGTTTGGCCTGTTCGTAAATAATAACGAATAAAACATGTAGTTTACACAATTTTAGTTACAAAGTAACTCTCAATAGAGCAATCTTGAAATCAAGGTTACTACAATGTTGTTCCGACATTTTCAATCTACCCACACTTCTGCTATCAAGAGTTATCGTCATCTTTACATTTATAGCAACATGTAACTTATCATAGCGTTCGTATATGACTATGAATAAATTTATGATAAGCATTATACCCGAGTAAATCACTACTGCCAAACAGTACAAAAAAAAAATCTGTATTCACCACTTTCATGTCGTGGATCTGCCTGAAATATTTTCCTTTTAATATATTCGAGATAAGCAACGTACTTGCTCTGACTGCTCAAGATTTCTTCGATAACATCATAGACAGTTGGCTGGCTGGTTTCTTCTTTATAAATATTGTATTCGCCATGATCTGTTGCATCCTAAAATCTGAACCGTTGAAAACTTTAAACTCACACCTCCTGAATTCAACTTCTACTCTAAATATCTTCAACCAGTATTTCTGAGAGATAAGTACCGTTCTTTTCTCTTGCTGTTTCACGTTGAATTTAGAAACCGATACAATGCCTATAGGTCATTCCAGTATAAACAGGAGCCCTACAATTACATTCCAGTTTTCTCATTATCTTCAGCATTTGATATTACTAGCCATGTTTCGGCTGGTTTCTTTTTTTTACATTTGTTCATTTACACTATTGTCTATAGTTTCAAATGGCGAGGTTAAACAGCGAGGAAGTGCAAAATGAAGGCAAAGAAAGCAGCACTTGTACAGTACATCACCTTACATATTAAGCAATACCGTGATAACATTATCAGCGCTCAATCCAATAGATTTCACACTTTGAACTTCTGTCGCTATGAGTTCTGGCTTATGAATTTTCGAGCTTTTTAAAGCAATCGTAAGAAAGCGTCTGTATTTTCTTCTGCAAAACTTCTGCAGCACCTGGAATTCGCATTTATGAGCATAAGGAAGAGAATTAGTGTCCAAAAGTGAACTGATACCAGCTTTATTTTCTGATCACATGACAATAACCTTCAGCCCCTCGTCTTCTTGTTCACTGCTTGACCAGGTCAACTTCCATCCCATAGATACGATTTTCGGAAATATCACCTAAAACATATATAACATAGAATATAAGGGAAACGAGATCCAATCATATATGACAGTGTAGATGGTTGCCTTTTCGATTCATGAAGCCTTCACACCTCACCTGGTACTGTCCGGAAAAAAGGCTGAAGGTAAGCGAAGGTTTAGTGAATCCAGATTACTGGATTATGGAGCAGTCAGAAGCCTAATGGTTTGTAGATATCTCCAACTACTCTCACCACTATAAATAACAAGAAAATAAAAGTTGCTGTGAAGTAATGGCAAATGCAAGTATGAACGACAAGAGCCATATCGGTTTTATATTCGACATGATATGAATAATAACGGGAGAGAAAAGACATTAGGCTTAAAGGAACGGGATGAAGTTTATCAGCTGATAACTAATTCTCTCTATTTTGTTTCTTACAGAAGAGGTTAAGTCATTTTTTAAAGACGACAGGAATAGGGACATATGGTAAGGTATTGATGATAATTACGATGGTTTTTAATATGATTGATGATATCAACATTTTATATTTGTAGTAAGAGAAACTGGTTGTCTTCTCACACCAACAACTAATTTTATTCTCGATGATGGCAAAATTGTCCCAAAGCAACGAATTCTTGTGATATCTAGCTGATACACGACAGTTTACTCCTCAAAAACTTTAAAAATTTTTTCCCGCGCTTCCTTACTCTTCTTTAGGCTAGATTACAATAAAATTTGATTAAAATCCAACTTGCTCTTTTTATGTCAACTAATACAAGCATCTAACCTCACCTTTCTTCGTTGGATTTCCGTTTTCATTTACATATTACTTCTTGTGAATCCGTTTTTGGATTACTGAGCCTTATGGTACAACTACTGGAACCTAATATTTTTACAAATAATAAATTCATAAAAAAGACCGAAGGATCTGAGAATTAATGAATTGTCAGGAAAATTAGAGGGAAAGATACGGCTGATAATAAGTCGTATCACATTTTTGAACGGCGGGATAAGTTTCTGAGATAGATGAAGGAGGCATGAGAAAGAACAGTGTACTGTATGGGAAATGGTTCAGTTGATGCCTTTATGTGGGAATCATGGACAGAACATGTGGTAGGGAGTAAGTAAGAGACAGGGAAATGAAAAGTGGGACATAGAGTGGGAAGCATTCGCCGCGCTTTATTCTCAACATTCACTTCAACAGAGCGCTTTACTGTTTAGGCATTTTTTCCCGAACGATATAAACCAAATTCGGAAGCTTCTCTTGCAGGAAGTCTCTGTGCAGCACTTTTCGATAATAACAAACGCTTTCAATTTAAGGGCAGAAATAGTGGAAAGTCTCTCTGTTTAAATTTTTGTTATTCAGCTTACAGAACATGTGAAATACAGATGTGAGAAATGCATGCCTCTCAGTTTGTATTTCATGAAGAATGAATCATTACGATTCAAGCATAAGTTAACGTCAAAAAGTCTAGTAGTGATAAACAGGCAGAATTCCGGATAGCTCTATAGTATTCTCATCATCACTTCCTACAATCATCATTAGCATCAATAATTATGAATATTGTTAACAGTCAGTAAAGCAAATCATCAGTTACAAAGGTCATACGCCTCTCATCTGCTGACCTTCCTAGCGTTTCTCTTCATTGTAAAAAAACTCTGCTTCTTGTTACTCTTGCTGTTCTTCACTTCCAAAAAAAAATGAACATTAAGCTATTAAAAAAAGGGGTCAGTTACCAAGCTTATTTGCGTGCTTGCATGCTGCTTTGATGAATCAAGCTAACTCTTATAGGGATCTTTATCTCATTGTATTAATACTGCAACTGTTATTAGTTAACTTTCTAATTATTTCTGCTATAATTTGCCGAGTTTGGATGCAAACAGTCTGCATGAAAACTGTACCATTCCACAAACTAAAGTGTAACTTTTCACTCTAAAACTACTCAGGGTGGAAACTTTTTTCCACTGCTCGTTATTTAGTATCGAATGTATGGGAATAATAATGCACCAGTTGTAATAATGACCTCTGTATACTTTGATATTTTTCGACTAGATTTCAAATTTCGCTTGTTCATTCTTTTCGTTCACTTTTTATTCATTACTTTAGCCAATAAATGATAGAAAACTTATTGGGTACGGTGGGAATGAAATGACGTGCCATCTCTCTTTAGTGAGCATCTCTTGTATGGGTTGCAATGAGAAGTGCGATAATTGGTGTTGATCTTTAATCCAGAAATCACTTGAAAGATTTATTGCTCGCCATTCCAATATATTGATTGAAGGAATAAAGGAATCAAGTAAATAAATGCGGCTGTTCAGTTCGTAATCATTCATTCCTTACCCTGTGAAAACCTCCGTTCTTTCATTATCTTTTCTTCACTATTGGGTTGTTAAGAAATCAGCGGTAAGGATGCGATTCAGGTAATGACATCTGAAACAGTGTCGTCCAGTTGCACCTCAATCGATAATAATTTACTTTTTTGTTCTGCCGTTGTTTTTTACTCAAATTCATTGTTTCAGATGACCAGTTTCAGTCTTTTTGCGACGTTTTATCTTTTAATCATTTCTCCCGCAATTTATGGTATGTTCCAAAAACTGCATATTTTACACCAGCTGTTTCCCACACACTGATATATGATTAGCCTACCCACTCACACACAGAGTAGCTCCATTAGAATTACCTCACTCATGACCTTTTTGTCCCATACGACTGGAAGTGTGAATCAGTGTGATCTCTTTTACGGTTGAACAAAAAAAAGCTGTTATGCCTTATATATGCTGGCAAGTTTGTCCGGAAAAAGGCATTGTTGGATTGGCCAGAAACATGTAATATAGAAATGGATAGGTTGGGAACTGAATGAATTTATTGTGGTAGCAGAAATGGTCGTTATCGTGCGGCACCTTACCAGTGTTAGAGAGTGGTAGTAGTTGAGCTTGACAGGTGAGCGTACCGTGATAATAATCCCTAAGTAATTCCAGTGGTTTTAGTTGTTTACTTAATGGAACTTCTGCAAGTCTTTATTCATATTTAATTAAGGATATGTGTTCCCTTGTTTGGATGAATGCCAGTGTGATACAGATGACGAAGTAATCTATTGCCATAATGGCCGTCGAACTACAGTAAGTCTTCAGTAATGTTTGTCTTTTTGTGAAGTTTTGGATGGTTAGGAGTTTTGCTTAAATTGTATTCTGTATAATAAAACACACTAAATGCATTATAGGAAATATCATTTAATAGTTTCAGCTTGAACTGCCGGATATTCGTTTGCGGGGTTTTATTGTGATAGGATTGACAAATAATGCAATCGAAAGGCTTCCTGACGAAAAATCCATTTTGGAATTGTTCCCGGACCTAATGGTAACCATGAGTCATTGTCAGCAATTGAATGTTATTTTCAAGTTTGGATAAGAAAAAATTGTATTCGAAATGAATTTAGGCCATTGACGTGGAAGGTAATGCACAGTTTGATTGCGAATCACTGAAAGGATACAAAAAAATTAAGGTAAGTTAAAGCGAACCTCTATTTCAACATTCATTTCAGTGCAACATCAATCACTGCATTCATAAAACAGCTATGTAATTTACAAATTTATTTTCAAATTAAGCTTGAATCCCTAGAAAGTCGAAAATATTATTTTATATTGTTGGCTATTTATTGTTATATATACATTACCCTTATGTATTAAATATTACTGGCTCTGCAGATATTCAGTAACTGTGAAGGGACCGAACCGATGATAACGAGAGACCAAAGGCTACCGGATATTGAGGAGGCGACTGACGCAAGTTTCAATTTCCTTATAAATGACAATAAAGCACCTTATAACACTATCAGTTGTGTCGTTTAAACGATACAACCGCGAAGTGACGGAATGACGGGCATGGCACTACAGGCCCTCTTTTTCATCAGCTTGGACTGAAACTATTGGACATACCTCTTTTAGAGAGAACTGTGACTGTACGCTCCTCATTGCATATTTTTGCATAAGATCTACATTCCAAAACAAAACTTGGTTTCAGACGTGCGACTTCAAGTGCCAGGTGGACAAACACTACAAAATTCTATACAACTATGTGGTGAAATTATGGAAGGTAAGAATTTTGTAGTCATTGCACTGGTAAAGAATGTAGTGGAGTTACAACCAGTTGGTTTTAGTCCAGTTAGCGCTGCAGGGAGATATAAAAAGTGAAGAATTGCCCTATGTTCGCTACAATCGATTTAATGGTCAATACCATGCTTGTACAGCCAGGTATTTTTAGATGCTAAAGATGAAGTATGAAGACATTGATAAAGAGAAGATTATGAAGGATGTGAAGGACTTTTTCGTTAATATTGCGAAGAAAATTGATGAGCTTCACAAGAAATAAGTTCCAATTCCTCGATGCAGCTCCCAAAATCAATGTTTCAAATGGTGCTGTAGTGTATGCAACGGAGTGTTCCCTACGAATGCCTTCTCAGAAGTTGGATAAGCGTAAACTGTCTCCATCCTATTTACCTTTAACGTGAGATTCATGCAATGAATTCAAAGTTATTATTTTGCGATCGCTAAAGCTGCAGTGGCCATTGTATACAAGCTATATCATTTACAATTTGCAGGAATATATGTAGTCAGCACAAAAAGAAAATTACTTAACGATATAGAATCAGAACAGGGATACTATTCCGATGTTGTATATCACTTCAGCAGAATAGCCTTAAAAGTTGAGTAGGAATAACAAAGCAATATTTATATGCAATTAAGAGTGGACATCCAATCAGAACAGCCTGATAGTATTGACAAAGCGTATCCTGGAGAAACCAATTTTGAAGAGGTGGTGAATTAATGTCCAATTATATGGGATAGTTAAAATGCACCACATGTATACCCAAAACAACATCCGTGACAACATCTTACAGGGTGCACCATTGACGTGAGGCCTTCCCAATCTGATATTTTGTTCTTACACCGTCTCCAAAATCCCAAAAATGATGACGAAATAAAACGTAAGGAAGCATGAAGTGAGATCAAAGAGATTTAAAAAATTCATTTCCACTCAACATTTTTGTCTCCGACTCAGAATATTCTGTAATAGTCTCTCATATTTTTATCAATGATACTTAGCATAAATATGATACGAAATGATTCTGATATTTAGAGCATATTTGTAGTGTATTCGTTAAATTGATAAAATGAAAGGAAAAAAAAAAAGAAAATAAGGTCACAAAAAAGTTTAACCTTTATTTATTTCCTAGCTAACAGTATTTTCTGGTTGGTTAAATTGGCGAGAAATAACAATAATTCCAGACATTCCGAATCTTTG